AGGGGCAACAGAAAAGTCGCGTCAGCAGAAAGTGTTCAGTGTGCACACACACACATGTGTGTGTATGCCTACGCGTTTATACGTATACATATATATGTATGCATGTATACGTGTCGGTGCTTGCTGCAACCCCCCCGCGCAGGTGGACAAGACGTACGTGAAGGCCGTGGACACCGTTCTGGAAAATCACTACTTCACGCTCATCGTTGAAGACATGAAGACGGCAAAAAAAATAGTCGAATTTATAGAAAAAAAAAGAGAAGAAAAAAAAAAAAAAGAATTTGAGTTTAAAGATTTCTTCTTTGGAAAACTGACCATCGTTCCTTTGTTGAACATGAGAAAGTACAGCGAGTTCACGTACCCTAATGACAAGAACATGGTGCCCTTAATAAACTGCGTAAATTATAACAGCAAGATATATGAGTTTTTAAAGAGCATTTTATTTAAAACGGTTATCGTCAAGTCCTTGGAGTGTTGCCAGAATTACCTGGAGGACAACTACAACTGTGTTAACATGGACGGGGACTACGTAAGGAGCACAGCGGGCCTTTCGCGCTTGCATATACGCGTGCGCGTGCCTATGCTTTTTTCCCTCTTACCTCCTACATGTTGTTGGCCGCTCTTACGTGCGCGCCGCCTTTTATGGTCCTCAACGCAATCTGTGATTACGCTCCCCCCACAGATGAGCAAACAAGGTTTTATGTACGGAGGGTATAACAAAAAGAAGTACGGCGTTTACACCATATACAATAAGCTGAAAGAATTAAAGGAAAAGGAGAAGAAGGAAAAAAACTCCATCGAAGAAATGTCTAACAATATTGAAAAAATAGACGAGGAGCTACGTATCATTTGTGATAAAAAATCAAATACGGTAGCTCAAAAAAATGGGTGCCTAACGACCCTGAACTCAATTACCAATAGCATTCACGCAAATGAGGAAAATGTACGCATAACTAGCGAAAAAATAAAACAGATTAAGGAGAAGAAAGAGCACCTGGAGGATTATAAAGACAAGCTCAAGGTGCAGATATTGCATTTAAGAAATAATAATGTAAACCCAGATGAGTGGGCTAAAGGCTCCGTCGATATAAACGCCCTCAATGAGCAAGTCAAAAAGCTCAAGGAGGAACTCAACAAAGTTACCAACGAGTACGACGATTTTAAAAACAAGTTGGAGCTTCTCTATCAGAAGAGGAACGAGGTAAGTCGCAAAAGGGGAAAATGACACTCACGCAGCGGGGCCGACCTACCTGGAGATGTGCCCCCCCTCATCGTGCTTATGTATATGCCCCCTACCTGCAGAATGACGCCAACATATACATGGAAGAGTACGAAGATGTTGATATTGACGAGTACACCAAAGAGCTGAGGGAGAAGAAAAACAACATCGAAAAGGTGGGCAAACCGTGGACCCTGGAGCAGCAAAAAAAATGTCTTCACTTTTAATACATGTGCAGATGAGCCTTTCACATCTCCTGCCTGTACATACCTAACACACGCGCACGTATTTGCGATGGACTGACATCCCCTTCTAAAGACATTTCATCATATCTACCCTTGGCACGCTTTTTACAACCCCCCCCTTTGTTAGATCGAAAAGGAAAAGATGCTCTACGAACAAAAGATAAAACAGATCAACGTAATGAGCAAAAAAGAGGGGCTGATCAAATTAGCCAAGCCACGACGTTTTTTTTTTTTTTTTTTTTTTTTTTTTCCCAATCCTCTTTGCCACCATTTTGTTGCCCCCCCTTGTTCCATTTTGCAGAAAGACATGGAGAGCGTAAAGTCGAACTTAGACAAAATCTACATAAACGAAAAGAAACACAAAAAGAAAATTTTGGACCTGTGTCATCAGATGAATCAGATAAATGAGGAGCTTCGCATTTTGGAGTAAAAATTGTCGCGCGCGCGGAGAAGAAGCATTCTTGCGTGTTGCTTACACAGGACGTCCCATTGCACGAAATAAAAAAAAAAAAAAAACGACTTACATTTCACTTACCCATTTTACACCTTTGCAGAGGAAAGGAAGAAAACATACGAAAAAAAAAAATAATTCTGCCTCAAGGCATAAAGGACCCAAATGAATATAAAAATTACGATAAGCAAGAGTTGTCTGCGAAGCTTAAATCCATAACACTGGTATAAAAAAAGGGGGCGGTGACGCACATGCCTTTTACCACTTTCATGCCAGTTCTTTTGTGTGCAATACAATACAGCCGGTGTTGCATTTGTCTCCTTGTGAGCGTTCTCACTTTTTTTTTTTTTTTTTTTTTTTTCCACCCCCTCACAGGAGCTACAAAAATATTCCAATGTGAATGAAAAGGCGGGAGACAGACTAAATATACTAATGAGTAAGTTTTTACAACACGTGTGGAGGGGTTTGCCAAAATTGCAGTTTGGCATAGATGCGTGCATAAGAGGGACTGTCTATTTAACGTCGTTCCCCTGGCCAGTCCCTTTTTTTTTTGTGAGGCATTTTTGCGTAGATCTTCACTGGCGCGTTTACCACTGTGTTTTTTGTTCCATCTTGTCTTTCGTTTAAGGCGATTTTAATGAGCTGAAGAAGAGAAACGAGGAGATAAGCACGTCGTATAAAAACATTAAGGACATGATACAGGTAGGTGCCGTTTTTTTTTTCATTTTTTTGCTTCTTTGTGCAGGTTGCAGACCCACATGTACGTATATAAACAGTGTACATTTTTCTGGTGTGTGCCCTCACCCCCATTTCCACTTTTTTTTTTTTTTTTTTTTTTTCTTCCCCCCCCTTATAGCATATTGGAAAGAAGAAGGACGAAGCGTTAGAAGCTACGTACTTAAAAATCAGCAAATATTTCTCCGAGTACTTCTCACTTCTTTTTAAGAACCGGAAGGCTACCCTGGTAGGGGGGATACAAAAAAACGTGTACACTGGTTGTGACACGTCCATGTTAAAAAAAAGTCCCTGTGTTTGGCGCACCAGACAGGATGCGGAAAGGGTTACATGTGCATTCGAATGGTATATTACCCCCTTTCGCAGGTGCTTAAAAAAATGAGCGAACAGGAGTACAAGGACATTCTGAGGGAGGCCAATGAAAAAAGGGCACGGAAGAAGGTCATTGACGATGAAGGTGAGAAGAATGGATGCCCTACATGGTCTCAAATGGGGGAGCACAAATATGCTCGCACTTCCCACGCGCATACACCTGTCCATTTGCTAATTTGCTCATTTGCCATTTCCCCTAATAGCCTACGTTGACAAAATCACGGGCATCTCGATCAACATCACGTCCAACGAGGATGAAAAAATGAGTTACACGATTCAGGAGTTGTCTGGTAAAAGGGCACACAAAAAGGGCACCACATTGGGCCTTTCCAACCTATCATCTGTCGCTTGTACACTCTGGTGTGCATTTCTTCCATCGCCGCACACACAAACCCTTCATCCACGTTACCCCCCCTTTTTGACCCACTCTCAGGAGGAGAGCGCAGCATTGTAGCTATTTGCTTATTTCTGTGCCTGAACAAAATCGACAATTTTTCTTTTTTCTTTTTTGACGAAATTGACGCGGCGTTGGATACAGTCCATCGGGACAACCTCTCGCTCCTGTAAGGATCAAACGGAGAAATGGCAACTCAGCCTTTTGTTCACACACGCAAAGGGAACAAATGCTCGGCACACATGGCGGTGTGATTGTAGCAGCCTCTACACCTGTGCTTTTTATTTAATTTTTTTTTTTTTTTTTTTTTTTTTTTTTTTGCGACAGCCTGCGGGAGCTGGCCCAAAGAGGAACTCAGTTCATAATCACGACATTCAGGTGAGACAACAAGAGGACTCAGAAAAAAAAATGGAAAAACAGACCACCACACAAACGTTGGCCGAACGACCAGACAAGCGCCGGGTGAACCGTGCCGTGCCGTTAAACACACACCGAAGGAATTGCTCCTCCCAAATACACCCCACTTCCCCTTTTCTTTTCCTTAGGAAGGAGCTCCTGGAGTACTGCGAAAATATGTACATAGTCAGGATAGTAGACCGCGAAAGTTACATTGCCAAGGGGACGAAGAAGGAGGCCTACGAAATAATTAGCATAGTAAATGCCGCGCCACACGAGACGCAAAAAAAAATAATTAAAACGCGCTCATAAAAAAAAAGTACAAAAAAGAACAAAAAAACGCCCACTGCCATACGCGCGGTGTAACGCCAAATTCACTTTCATTTATTTTACTTTTTCAGGAGGAAAAGAACGCTATAGAAAATTAAAGCATTCCTTTGGACTAAGCAGAAGAGTTTCCTTCCTTTGTGTTTTTTTTTTTTTTTTTTTTTTTTTTCCCTTTTTCCACGTCCACTTGGGCGTTCACATACGTATGTATATTTTACATGCGCGTTTGTTATGTACCTTTTATACGTGTCCCTCTCTTCATTTGCGAACATTTAAGATGGGTCCCTTTTTCCTAATTTTTTCTCCCTTTGTGCATGTCCATTTATTTTCTTAAACTTAAAAAGCGCAAAGGTACATATTTCGACCACATGTATTTATGTCCGGCGTAATCGACCTGCAAGTGTGGCGGCAAAATGCGGCAGGAGTGCCATCACAGGGGACCAACGTTATTGTTAATTCTGCCCGTGTGCACGAATTGCTTTTTCACATTTTGTAGCTCGCATTTTGTAGACTACCTCTTTCCCTCTTCATTAAGTTTTCTTCATTCCATTTTGTTCAATTTTTTCACCTGATAATACAAAGCTAAAAGTGTGAGGAAACAGAAAATTTGCGCTCGATCGACGTCACGGAAAAAAGGTTACGTGTTCGTTCGGCAAGAAAAAAGAAAAAAAAATTCCAAATTTACTCCAGCCAAAAGGGATGGTCAACACAGCGTGCCAGTGAAAAGATAATAGCGTCAACGGAAAGCGTACCTCGCGCTACTTTACCCCTTTGCCTGTGAAAAGGAACACTTTTTTTTGTTTCCCCCCCTTTTTTTGCGCATCCGGAGGATACGCCTGACACGGCAAGGAGAGAACAAGCATGGCCGACATTAAAAGCGTTGTGGCCTCCATTGCGGCGATCATCCGGGAGCCGTCGCAGGATGACGTCATATACTTGGACGAGTGCAGCGTGACGTAAGCCGCACGAGGGTTGCCCTCTGCACGCGTGCGATATGTGTTGCTATGCGTGGCGCATTCGTTTGTTTGCCCACCCGTTTGACCGCTCGTTTGCCCCTTGCCCCCCCGCAGCGGCTACAAGGACATCTTCGAGGATGGCGTGTTCGTGGACCTGGTTTCCCTCGAGACCTTCGGCCTGGATTCCCTCAAGTACAATTACAACCGAGCGCAGCAGGGCAGCGGCCAGAGCCCCGGGACACACACAGGAAGGTTCTATTTGAATATCAAGAAGAAGAAAAAATTGCTAGACAAGATAGAAAAAAGCGAAATAAAAAATCTGACCCTGAATGTGGAAGGAGGCTTCAAGGAGAGCAAGGTGTACGAATACCTCTACACATATTCACTATACGATTTGGAGACTAATTTATATATTACCTTAGATCAAGTGGAAGACGAGCGTGTAAAAAATATATGTAAAAGCATGATTAGTCATAAAAATGAGTTAAAGAAGGAAAATCCGAACAAGTGGGTAAATGAAATAAAAGAAAGCAAATATGCAAAGGATCTTGTACAGCTACCAAATGTTATTATAAAAAATGAAAATCTCCAATGTGCCGTTTGTAAGGCTAAGAAGAATATATGGCTGAATTTATCTGATGGGTACATAGGATGTGGAAGAAAAATATACAACTATGGAGGGGGTTGCTTGAACAATGAAGAAGGAGCAGCATTGAAACATTATTACGAGAGTGGAAAAAAATACCCCTTAGTTGTGAAGCTAGGAACTATTACCAAAGAAGGAGAAGCAGATGTATTTTCATACGCAGATGATGAAAATGATAGTGTAATGGATCCTTATATAGATGTGCATCTGAAGAACCTAGGCATTAATATAACAAATTTGAACAAAACAGAAGTTACTACCTTAGAAAAAGAAATAAAGGAAAATCAAAATATAAATTTTTCTTCCATACTTGATAAGGATACACAACTTGTATGTAAAAAGGGAAAGGTAGGATTTCTCAACTTAGGAAATACATGTTATATGAATTGTGCTCTGCAAGTATTTGTGTCCATTAAGGAAATTAGTTACAGGTATATTGAAAACCAATTAGACTTCCTCCTCACATTGGATCGAAGCAAAAAAACACACCAAGACATGTTCATTCAATATGCAAAATTATGTAGTATGATTTTTAAAGAAGATTATATTAATAAGAAAAAAAATTATATAAAAAAATTTAAAGAAGAATGTGAAAGGAGAAATGTGGAAATTAATTATGACAGTGATATAGATGAAGAAAATTGTATAAGTATAAACCCTTCCATGTTTCGAACATGCTTGAATGAAAAAGGAAATTCATTCTGTAATAATAATCAGCAAGATATATTTGAATTTTTAAGCTACCTCCTCAATGAGCTCATTGAAAATGAAAATATGATTTTTCATAGAATCCTAAATGGAAATAATTCAAATAAAAAGAAAATTATAAAGAACCCACAAAATGTTGAACAGGGTGGAGAAAATGAAAAGGAAGACAAATGTAAGAAGAGCAATAATAATACTTGCTCAACCAAGGAGGGTACAAATGTACAAGGGAATAATAAAGAAAAAAGTGAAAAGTCCCTCTTTAACCTGTTCACATTCGAAATGGATCAAACCATTGTACATGATGAGGATAACATAAGTAGCAGCTCCTTCCAAAATAATATCCTGTCATTGGACATACCCCTCGATAATGATGTGTTGAAAAAAATGGATGCAGAAAATAATACATCTACTCCTCCCCCTCATGTAACCCTACTAGACTGTCTGAATAATTTTATAAAAAAGGATTACATTGAGGAGTACTACAGTGAAGAGAAAAAAACCAAAGTGTTGGCTCAAAAGGATATGAAGTTTAAGAGCTTCCCTCCATACCTTTTTATTCACATTAAAAGATTTTACGCGGATGAGAATTGGAACGCTAAAAAGATAAATGTTCCTGTTGAGGCAGATGAGTATATCAATTTGGAGTTTATGAGGTCGGAGAAGAGTCCTCTTGGGGGAGGGGGGCATGATGGCAGCACTGGGTGTGGTGAAGCAAAAGGGAAAAACTCCGCAAATACTTCTCCTCATGGAGGGAAAAACAGCGAGGAGTACATCATACAACATCATAAGGATCTCTTGGACTCCCTTTTAGAACTTGGATTTGAAAAGGAAAAGGTTCTAGAGGCTATAAGAAAAGTCAAGGTCAAAAATGTGAACAACTGCATCTCCTACATTTATGGTGAAGACTCGGTGGAACTAGATTTGCAACAAGCCAACCAAGGGATGGAAGTCAACTCTGAAAATTTGAATTCTATCATCAGCATGGGTGTCAACAAGGATGTAGCCATGGCCTCCCTCCTCATAAACAAAAACGACTTGCAAAAATCCATTGATTACATTTTCTCCAATCTAGACGATCTCACAGAGGCCAAGTGCGCCGCCATTCTGAACAGGAACAAGTGCGAAGACGGCTTGGGTAGGGTGTGCTCGGTGTGGAGTCAACGCAACTCCGCGGGAAGCGCACCGCATTTGTTAGAAGCGACTTCAACTTGTCTGACCATTTTAATTATACACCCGCCATCCCTTTCTCCTCCTCCACCTGCCCGCAGCCAACTACGAGCTAGTAGCTTCCATCGTGCACATGGGAAGCAACGCCAACTCGGGCCACTACATGTGCTACATAAAGGACGATGCTCAGTAGGGATTTGCGCCCCCCTCAATGGGGATATGCCGCTCGCGGGGGAAAAGAAATATAAATGCAAGTTCGAGCGGACGATAATTTGTTTTTATTTATTTTTATTTATTTTTATTTAATTTATTTAATTTAAAAAAAATTCTTTTTTTTTCCCCAGGTGGTACGTATACAACGACAACAAGATTGGTCTGTGCGACACGAACAAGGGCAGGGACACGGCATACATCCATTTGTACAAGAGGATCTGAGCGGATTTTTTTTTTTTTTTTTTTTTTTTTTTGGGTCGGAATTTCCCTCACACAGAGAGTGTTCAAGATAGCAATGTGGGTGTCCACATGTCTACCTTGTCCACCTCCGCTTCCGCACCACCGCATGCACACTTCACGTATGCACACGTCGCGTACGCACTTGTATGTGTAGAAAGGCTGTGTGTGTGTGGGGGGGGGGCACCCCCTTGATTGTGTTCCACTGGAGAAGTTGTACTCCATGAGTGAAGGTCTTCCAAAGCGTATGTGGGAGTGCACCGAAGGGGGGGAGAGTGAACGCGGCTCGAGAAGAAGTCACGCAGGGTGAACACACAGCTTCGTGTAGCGGCTTCGTGTGATAACTTCGTGTGGCGGCTTGGTATGGCCGCTTCGCACCCAATCACTGCCCCTCCTGCGCACCCTTCTGCGTGTGCAAGTAAATACCGCGCGCTATGGAGGCGGGGACCTGCATGATGGAGCGAGGGATGTCCCCAATCAAGCGGACCAGCTTGTTCACCACTTGCCCAAAATAAAAACTGTGTGTTCTTAAATTTATTAAATTCTCCGTTTCAGCTTTGTTCAAAATTGTATTCTCATATATGGATAATTTTATAGAGTTGTTCATTTTGTATTCTTTGTACATGGAACTGAATGCTTTATTACCATACAGAGTAAAGGCTATGTATTTTTCATCCATAATAAACATATAGGTGTTGCTTTCTTTTAGGTAGGGTACGATGGCTTCAAATGGCGTGTTTTCCACAGCTAGCTTCATTAAGGTATTCTTAACCATATGAACACGTACATGTGGTCTGGGGAGATTTATTAACAAATCCATTCTCATATTTGGAGTTAATTTGAAACTGTTTAATTGTATTAAAAGTTTTGTTACTTTTAAAATCCTTTTTATTTTTCTTATCATTTCATTTTTCCCTTCTCTCGTGTTTCTATATCCACTACATTTTCTGCTATATATTGAAATAGATTTTCCTTTTTTTCTCCGGCCTATATTTGTACTGCTTATAAAATGGGGGTAGTAGTTGTAGTAGTTCACATGCCTTCTTCCTCTTCCATCTTTTCTCCCCTTTTTTATTATTCGTGTGGAAGGGGAAGACAACTCAAGTGGCACCTTTACTGCACCAAATTTGTAGACCCCCCTCGTGCAGGTTTTCTTCCCTTCACAAATTATATACACACATATCGTGTGAAGCAAACACAACAGCAGTGCGAGGGATAAGCGTCTGCCGCTTGCCTGTTTCAAGAACATTATCCCCTGGGTGATTGTTAGATGTGTACCTGCAGGGGTACGCGTCTTTCCCCCCCTGCAAAATAACACCCCCCTTTCCCCCTCCACTCTCTATATTTACACGCGCGTTGGCCTCCTTTTGTCCACTTAATGAAGAGGAGTGCCTTTAACGTCTCTCACGACAGACATTCACATTTTGCATCTCCTCTGGGGGGAGGGGAGCATATTGCTGCGCATGGAGAAGATTAGAAGCTAATTTTCGCGATTTGTTTTGTTTCCCCCCTTTTTTCATACATTACTACACCTAGTGAGAGGTGTGTTTCACCACTAAGCAGCGACATGTAAAGGTGTCCTTCTAATCATTGTGAGCGAGTGTGTAGCGGTGGATTAAGGGTGCAGACGAGTACGTACACTTCACGCATGCCCAAAGGGAAGCAACAACAAAAAAAAAAATAAATAATACAACGCTTTGCAGAGTGCCACAAAAGCGGAAAAACAACAAGAACAACTAAAAAAAAAAAAAAAAGGACTCACTAGGCTGTTGTGGAAGCCCTTGGGGTAACCAGTTGATGGGCCATTTAGCCAACCGGTTAACCATAAAGCAGATTAGCTAGTCCATTTGCACATGTGTTAAAAGCAAAAAGGTGGCAGCCATTGCCCAATTCGTTCCATTCCCCTTAAATGTGTATTCTCTCAATCCGTGTGCAAAAAAAAAAAAAAAAGGGGTGAAAAAAAACACACAAAAAAAAAATTACCATAATAATAGCGTTTACACAAACAAGGGGTAGAGAAAATGCAAAATGAATGTAAATTCTCAACGGCGAAGAAAAGAAAGCAGCCCTAAATGAGCAGCCATTTCATAAATTCATTTTAAATGTAACATATATTTGCCTGAACAAGTCATGCATTGTTTGCGCATTTATGCGTACTTTTAAGTAAGCTATTTTTTTTTTTTTTTGCAAAACAGGAACATTCAGGCGAAAAGGTGCGTATTTGTACGCGACAACACACAGGTGCATAATCACATTACGTGTACTGTTTCTTTTTTTTTTACAAGGGAAATTTTTCAGGTAAAAAAGTTGGAAAAAGGAAAAAAAAAAAAAAAAAATACCACCACACAGAGTTGTAACATGTAATTTATATTCTATGTTTTTTAAAAATTGTGCCACGTTGTTTGCATGTATTTTACAATTGAACTGAACAAATTGACATATTTCACCTCAAAATTATTGAGCATCTGGTGATTATTTTACATTCCGTTCGTACGTTTGTGCACATGCGTGAATGAGTTTAGTTTTACCCAAACGGTATTCCCCTTCTACGAGCATTTTTTTTTTCCACCCGAATTAGTAGTTTACACGAGAAAGGGGTTCAAATTTGGAACAAAGAAGGAAAAAAAAAGAAAACACACAAGTGTAGTAGCACCTGCACGCTACGTACGCGTATGCACACGTTGAGCACCTCGCGCCGCGAAACACCGTCGTCGTCCACAATTTTTTTTTACACTCCGGAGGGGGGGAAAAAAATAGTGTAGCATAACCCGTAGCAGAAATTTGTACCAGGCCAAGTGCAAACGATTGACGCGATGGGGGGAATAGACACCCCCGGTGAAGCAGGGCCCGTGGGGATGGCAGAGACACTGAAGGAGGAGGAAAAAAAAAAAGAGGGGCAAATTTTAAAAAGCGACACAGAAGAAGAAAGTGACGACGGTCAAGTGGAAGTAAAAGAGATTTACAATAAAAGCAATTTTATTAATGGGAAGGGTGCCAGGCTGGTTCGAATAGTATCAGAATTTGTGGGAGTCCAAGACGCACTACGAGATGAAGGAATATTTTTCACAGTCGTCGTTTTCGGCTCTTCCAGATCATTAAGTAGTGAAAAATATCAAAGGAGAAAAAAAAAATTGGAAAAAAAATTCTCCAAACTTAATGACAAAATAACGAACAACATACCATTAACAGCTATGGAGGTAGCAGAATATGAAGGGGTAAAAAAAGACTTAGAAAAATTACACAAATTAAAATGGAGCACAGAATATTATGCAAAAATATATGAGCTTTCAAAACGCCTGACTTTATTTTTTGGGACAGAAGAAGGGCAGAAGGCAGTGAATAATATTTCGACCCATTTGCCGAAGGTACATAATTTTGTACCAAATAAAAAAGGGGAAAAAAACCCAAACAATTTTACTGTTGCCATTTGTACAGGAGGAGGTCCTGGTTTTATGGAGGCAGCAAACAAGGGTAGCAGAGACGCCAATGGAAGATCCCTAGGCTTTATGATTTCTTTACCATTTGAAAAAGGAGCAAACAAATATGTAGATGAAAATTTATCTTTCAAATTTCATTATTTTTTTACAAGAAAATTTTGGCTAGTTTATTTATCTCTAGCCTTTATTATCCTCCCAGGGGGGTTTGGAACATTAGATGAACTGATGGAGATTCTAACCCTAAAGCAATGTAAGAAGTTTAAGAGAAATGTTCCTATTATTCTTTTTGGAAAAGATTTTTGGTCTAGTATTCTTAATTTTAAGAAGCTAGCTGATTATGGGCTTATTTCTCAAGAGGATCTAGATTCCATTTTCCTTACGGATTGTATTGAAGAGGCCTACAACTACGTCATCAACCATTTGAAGAATGGCTCTTGTTTGTCTAACACGGCGTGATGATATGTGAAGGGCGGTGGGGCCTCTCCGTTGGGACAGTACATGATCTGTTCACCGCTTTACGTTGTGTGGACGTAACATGTGTGGGGTGTTCAGCGTGTGCAGATCAGCTTAACAAAAAAGCCGTTCCGATAACACCGTTGCGTTTGATATGTATTGAGAGTTCGCCTCCTTTCCCCTCGCTTAGGTGCCTCCCCCCCCCCCTGTGTAAAGTGGGTCAGGGTGTCACGGTGCTACGTCAGGTCGTACGGGTAAAATGCATGTGTATGTGGGGGGGGAAGTAGAACCATGCGGTGGGTACTTAATTTGTGGGGCCATAGCCAAAAAAAAAAAATAATAATGTATTGATTTTTTTTTTTTTTTTCTTAATATGCGTTTTATGATACATTCCACATTGTGTAAAAAAAAAAACCTTCACAATGTGTTGCCCTAAAAACTTTTTTTTTTTTTTTTTTTTTTTTTTTTTTTTAAATTCGTTAATTAGATTTGCTTCAAAAAGGTAAATTATCGCCAGTGGCGTGGACGATAACAATTCTGCGTTGTCGCGCAGCTGTTTGTCCAAATGACAAAAATGGGTGTGTGGTGTGGGAAGCACTCTTTCTGGTAGTTCCGTCCATCATTTCCCCCTGTGCGGCGGTGGCAGTTGCAGGTTCGCCAATGCATCACATGCGTACATACATATATGTGTACATGTGCGCACGTTGCGGTATCACATCATGCAACTGCGTTCGCGCGTACATTTCCGTGTGCAGATGTGCCGTCGGTTGGTTGGAGGTGGGGAAAAACGGAAGGAATAAAATATAAAGCGGTTGCAATTTTGTCACAGCGAAAAATGGTGCAGTGTAAACAGAAAGAGGTCCTCCTCCTGTTCTTCGTCATTTTTTCCCCCCTGGTGAAATTGCCGTTGACCTCTGGAACGGTTGACCGTGACCTGACCCCTGGGAATGGTTACCCCCCTGGGGCGTTTGTATGCAGAGTGTACATGAGAATATGAGCGAGTACCGGCGGGTGCGCTGCGCGGGCATTTGATTTGTTTTGCACTTGGTACTCTTTACTGCGCTTCTTTTCCTTTTTTTTTCCTGCAGTCAAATGGAACGCGCCGCGAAGGTAGGGTATTACTTTGCCAATGCGCCCTTTGCTTAATTTTTTTTTTTTTTTTTTTTTTTTTTTTTTTTTTTTTTTTTTACCAATTCGTTTTGATGCCCTTCTGGGGAACTCTTCAGAAGGACTAACACAGAAAAAGGAGAATAAAAAAAAAAAAAAAAAAAAACAGACTTTGACGAAAAGCAGCATTTTCTTTACCATCTTCTCCTCCCCCTCTCCCGGAAAGGATGTCCTGAAGGAAGCGTGTTTGACCCAAGTTAGCCCAAGAGAGAAAAACAAAAGGTTTTTTAAAAAAAAAAAAAAAAAAAAAAGAAGAAAAAAATGGATAACATTAGCAAGTACCTGAAGGAGGAGGACTACTACATTAAGTTAAAGATTTTAAAGAAGCAAATTGATGTCCTGAACATACAGGTGGGTTGTTCGTGTGTGGGTGGGTGCAGACCCTGCTGGTGGTGAGATGTGCGTCTCTCGCCCTCGATGGGTGCTGCCGCTTACCACTACCGCGCTGTGTCGTATCGTTGCCGCGCTGCCGCTTACCATTGCCGCGCTACTTCGTATCGTTGCTACGCTACCGCTTACTATCGCCGCGCTACTTCGTATCGCTACCGCAGGAGGAGTACATCAAGGAGGAGCACAAGAACCTGAAGAGGGAGCTGATCAGGTCGAAGAACGAAATAAAGCGCATACAAAGTGTGCCACTGATCATAGGTCAGTTTCTCGACATCATTGATAACAACTATGGGATTGTGAGCAGCACGGCTGGGTCGAACTACTACGTTAGAATTCTTTCTACCCTGAATAAGGAAGACTTGAAGCCATCAGTGAGCGTGGCGTTGCACCGACATAGCCATTCAATTGTGAATATATTGCCTTCCGAGTCGGACAGCAGCATACAACTACTACAAGTGAGTGAGAGACCGAATGTCAAGTACACAGATCTAGGAGGGTTAGATACACAGAAGCAGGAAATGAGAGAAGCCGTTGAGTTACCTCTGAAAAGCCCAGAGCTGTATGAAAAAATTGGCATAGAACCTCCCATGGGCATTTTAATATATGGACCCCCAGGTACAGGTAAGACCATGCTTGTTAAGGCAGTTGCGAACGAGACACAAGTTACCTTTATCGGTGTGGTGGGTTCTGAATTTGTTCAAAAATATTTAGGAGAAGGTCCAAGAATGGTAAGAGATGTGTTCAGGTTGGCTAGAGAAAATTCTCCTTCCATTATTTTTATTGACGAGGTAGATGCAATAGCCACAAAAAGATTCGATGCACAAACAGGGGCAGACAGAGAGGTTCAAAGAATTCTTTTAGAATTACTGAATCAAATGGATGGGTTCGATAAGTCCACTAATGTAAAAGTTATTATGGCCACCAACAGGGCCGATACACTAGATCCTGCATTATTGAGACCAGGCAGACTAGACAGAAAAATTGAATTCCCTCTCCCAGACAGAAAGCAAAAAAGACTCATCTTCCAAACCATCATTAGCAAAATGAATGTTAGTAGCGACGTCAATATTGAAAATTTCGTGGTCAGAACAGATAAGATAAGTGCAGCTGATATTGCGGCCATTGCACAGGAGGCAGGCATGCAAGCTATACGGAAGAACCGCTACATCATCACGGCGAATGACTTCGAGCAGGGCTACCGCACGCACGTCCGCAAGCAGCTGCGCGATTATGAGTTTTATAACATATAGGTGGGGTGTGTTCACCTGTTCGCCGCTCACGTATTCGAGCCGTTTTTTTTTTTTTTTTTTTTTTTTTTTTTTTT